ACCGCAAGAAGTAATGAACTACGTTGGCACTAACTGTAACCTACAGTGTAAAGAACAGGTCCTTATCAATCTTTGCAAGCCACCTCTGGAATAGATGAAAAAACTAACCTTTTTTTGTGTTCAAAGAAAAGCTTGCAAATAAAATGATGGCCAACAAAAATAGTAGTAGTGTACCGGAAGAAGACAAGACAGACAGGAGCAAAATATAAATACTTTATTAACATAATTTTCTGATTCAGCTAACAGTTGAAGTCCTCACAATAAAATAAAATAAAATAAATGAAAAATTTATAAGTAAATAAATAATAGAAAGACCTACTTTTAACTGCCCCCAACCATCTGACTCTTACAACACACAATAATTAGACACTACAGCTAAACCAGTACGAGACAGCCACCAGTTGTCGAGGCCTTGAGGAGGAAAGTGGTCTTCTTGTCCTAGACAATGTCATTATTATAGTGAAAAAAAAAATGCAAAGGGGAAGTGGGAAGCAGTTGTTCCTACAGGTGATTGTGTTGGACAGTGGGTCCTCAGAGCAGGTTCAAGGTTCAACTATGCTATCAATTTCAATAAACACTCAGCGAAATTCACCTGTAAAATGCTTTCAACAGGGGAAGTTTACAGTGAGTTGGCATGACAAAAGCCCAAATTTGATGGGCAGAGATGAAGAAAAAAGAGTGTAAGAAAAGATTAAAACAAGAGCTCACAAACTGCATGCAAGTCAAAATTCCCCCTTACACCTCTCAAAACAGTGATTACCTGATTGGTGAAAAACACGATCTTGTGACCATCAGCATGCAGAGACTTCAGCTTCCTGAAAGTATCACCATAGGCAACTCTGCAAAATGAGAATGTGTAAAAGATTAGAATCAGCAACTGTGACTGTGATGAAGAGATTTTAAGCACTTTCCTGGAGATGTCAGTTCGATTTCTGAGAGGGGATGTTCGTTCCTTTACATTTCTATCCATCTCCAGTGATGCGGTGTCCTACCCGGTTCAAGTTGGCCCTGATAGGCAGGGTTGATGAAATAACTGCCTTCTTAATGATCTTACTTGTGTCGAAAGGG